TAAGGATATGCTTTTTTTGGTCAACAATTTGTTTGTGGTGTTGTAAAGAATGTTGGTGTATAGAAATAATTAATGGTTTCACAAAACCGTTCAATTCGTGAAAAGGAGAATTTTTAAATGGATAACTTATTTCGCCCTCAAATTAGTTTAGATGATAAATTGAAACACGGAGTTCATTTTCAGACAAAAAATTAGTCTTTTCCCCAATAGCAATTAATTTAGCTTCACAAAGTCTATCAACCTTTACTCATTATTCCGGATCCAGTTTTTTTCAAGAAATTCATTAGCACTTTTCAGAAATATGATCAATTTTTCAAATTATGTAGTAAATAATGTTATTTTATTAAAGATTATTTACTGTTATTCACTCTTTTTAACAAATAAACAGAAAACAACAATGCAATTCTAGTTTTAACGAATATTAATAAAAACAAATGGAACGGAATTTTAAAGTATTAAAAATCTATCTTTAAAAGCCTTTAGGAAGAAAATTATTTATAATTAAAAACCGAATTTGATAAATTATACACTAAAATCTATTGTTTCGTTTATTTGGTTTTGTTTTCCCTAGAATTTGATTAAATAATAAAGTTTCATTATTAAAAAATGCTATTGATTTCAAATAGGGAAAATTCCTTGTGAAGTTCACCGGGAATTATTTTTAGAACATTATGTTATAAAAAAATTAATAATCTTACCATAAATTTTTTTGTCTTTATTATAATTGGAATCTTGTTCCAATGCCGCTTGCTATAATTGGAGTAATTGGATCAAGTACTTTTTAGTAATAAGGATTTCAAGTTTGTATCTGTACTCAAACGATTGAATAATATAATTAAAATTATACTTAAATTTCCTTATAAAAAATTATTAATTAATATTCCACTTAAACTTTATTAATTTTAATATTTAAATACTGGAATCACATATTTTTTTAAATAAGCACTATCTTCACAAATAACTCTTATAAATGCAAAAAGTAAAGATTGTAATCAATTTATATGTAATTCATTTATAAAATATAAAAGGGTAAAACCAGTTTAAAATATGCAAGCAATTTTTATATAAACAACTACTTTACAGTTACTTTTCAAAACTTCATTAAAACATTTTAATAATATATATTTTATTGCATGGTTTAAGATGATGGAATCCATAATATTTGGTTATTTAACCAATATTTTCTATTAATAAAATTCCATTTAAGTTATCCTGTTTATAAACTATTACAATTATTTTACAATTATATCCCAAAGATCAAAACACAAGAAACAAAACCTTTGTGTTCAATTTATATATATATATATATATATATATATAACTTGGTTTTTTGCTAGAAGTGCATTTCGTACAATTTAGAACAATGATATAATGATAATTTCCTTACATTTATGAGATAGGATATAGGGTCATACAATGATAAGCTACATTTTAAAATTGATCAGGGATGTACGATTTCCATGTACGCAGTATTCTCATGTATTATGTTGTTAACTAATTGAATTTCTGATACTTATAAAGTAACTATCAAGAAATATTACAAACATTTTGATGTCAAAATGTATTTTGTCAACAAAAAAGCAGCATCGCTTATTATTATATTTCCCTTATCTTTCGTTCAAATAATAGTTTAATCTCAGTATTTTTATTTACTGAGTATTATTAAAGCTGCTAAAATTTTACAGAATGCTATTTAAAAAGACAATTTACAATAGTTTTGGAAAAAATAAAAAGTTAAAAAAAATAACATGGAATCATGCTTAAATTTTATATTTCTTTAAAATTATTTCTGTGTTAAAAAGTTTAACAATTTATTGCAGTTGTATTGCATATTCGTTATACTTACAACCATCGATAATGCTTTTTTTTAAAGGTCAAATTTTGATTTTAAAATTTGCAATACAAAATTCCAAATTAACGGGTTAAATAGTGATCGACTGTCTAATCTAAAAAAGGAAAAATATATTAATAGTTAAGCATCATTTTTAGAATTTCAAATTTTTGGGTAAATAAACATATTATAATCAGTTGTGTGTAATTCATTCGATTACGTATATTAAATCTTAGTTTAAACATGCAATTCAAGTGTTTTAATTTATGTATATAATTTAAGTATTTAATTAATATCTAATCAATTAACCCTTTCTCTGTCGGATATTTTTTCAAATTTCAGACCCAAATAAAAGAATTTTTTATTGCTGAAAATTAATATATGTTCTATCCTAAATTCGAAAATGCAAGATATTTTTGTCAGCAAGCAGTTTTTTGTTTGATCTATTGGTGATTAAATATGTGCACAGGTCTCCAGTTTTCCTTGCGATTCACCCAAGTTTTACCTTAAAAAGATACACTGTCATAACATATTTATTAACTTATTACTGCATAAAATAATTATTAAAATTAGGTAAAAAAATATCGAAGTAAATAATTTTCCAACCTTAACGTTAAAACAACTTTACAATCTGTTCTGGACATCAAACCGCAAAAATCTTATTTATCACAAAACTATCACAACTATTTTGATATACAACGGTAATACAAATGAAAGTGAAATTACAGAAAATAAATTATTTTGATTTCATTTCAAGGTGGGAAATCTTACTGCGAAAATTGTGACGAAAGTGGGACTAGTTGCGCCATCTCATAGCAAGATTCAGAAATACAAAAATAATCGAGGGATTTTAAGGGACGTATAATTAGTGACGAATTCAATTTTAATGATGCAATTTCTCTCTTCGTCGCATGCCATGTGACGCCGAAGGTATATGATGCGACGCCGACAGAGGAGGCATGTAATGCATTCTATTATGTCATCTATGTTATTTTTCTAAACCTTTGATGGGGGGTAGGAGACATTTTGCTCCACTTGTCAAATAGGCCCTATGTGCCTGATTCAATAAGATAGAAATTTTGGGCAGAACATTTTGGATTATTAAGAAAAAAATTATCTTTGATAGTTTACTTTTTTCTTGCTTTATCCAAATATTATTTTCTTACATAAAATTTAGAGGTACATTGCTCAAAATAAAAAATGGACCATCCCTTAATAACTTTTGATCTAAAGGTCGAATTTTCACGTTTTAGGACTCAATCTTAATGGTTCGAGGGGGTAACCTCAAGTATACTAATTAATTAGTGCATACGATATTTTAAGCTACGAAATCATGTGCAAAAACGTACTTTTTTTCTGAATTAACCTATCTTTTTTTCGACGGATTTGAATTTCTGACTCCCAAAATGTAGGGGGTAGCTGCAATCTGGGAAATATGGTACCAATAGTTTGGTCAGGAGACCGGTCCAAAGTTTGGACCCCTTAATGTTAATTTTATTTTTTGCGTATTTCGCCATATCTCGAGAATTTTTTAAGCAAATTGAAAAATTTTTACACACAATTATAAAGTTTCTTTAGCCACAGCCATGCGGGAAAAATTTATTATTTGTTATTATTTTATTTTGTACTAATCTAAAATTTTTAAATTGCAGGATATACAATTTTTACATCATTTTAAAGAATGTATTTTTGCATGACAAAATACAAAATTTGGGCAAAATCGGTCCAATAGTTCCTGGGAAATCGACTTTTAAAAATGGGACTTTTGCAAAAGATGATTTCTCAGAAATTTGTCTGATTTTACTCAAATTTTGCATTTTGTCCTTTAAAATTACATTCTTTAAAGTGATATAAAAAAACTGTTAACCTTACAATTCAAAATTTTTTCATCTAGTTTAAAATAATAAAAAATAATAAATACTCACTAAAATTTATTTTCGGATTAACGAATTTCATAATTGAGTGCAAAAACTTTTTACTTCGCTTAAAAAGTTCTCGAGATATAGCGAAATACGCAAAAGGAATTATCAAGATTAGAGGCTCCCAGCTTCCGACAGCTCTCCTGACCAAACTATGGGTACATATTTCCCAGATTGAGGCTACACCCTATATTTTGAGGGACAGAAAACTGAATCCGTCTAAAAAAAGGCATGTTTATTCAGCGAAAATATGTTTTTGTGTCTGATTTCTTAATTTAAAATACCATCTGCACTAATTAGTTAGCATATTTGAGGTCACCCCTTCGAACGGTTAAGATTGAGACCTAGAACGTGAAGATCCGATCATTAGATCAAATGCCATTGTGAGTGGTCTGTTTATTTTTTTGCGCAATGTACATTGTAAGATATGTACATGATAAATAGTGTATATATGTTAGATTACATTCAGCTTGCAATTTTTTTAAAAAATATTGCAGTGCTTTGGGACTCAGTTAAGAGATGTGATAGTGCGTTCTATCTTGAACCCATGGCGTTGAATAATTTATTTAAAAAGTGCTCTCCACCAAGTTCGAATAGAAACTTTAGAGTTTTGTTTATTTTATTTCACACCAGAACGTGCGATCACGCATTGCAAATAAAGGTCCTCTTAAAAACATAAAGAATACTTTTAGCAGCAATAAAAAGCACTTCTGAAACGTGAGGGATCTCTCACCTGATATATGGCTTCTGCTGGGAGAGATGGGAAATCGGAGAAGGGTACGCCCCTGCAGATGACTTCGTGGTGACTTTTACGACAAGTGCACAGGCGGTTGAAGCTACAAGCTTCGTTGCAGTCATTTCCGGTAAAACTTAAAATAATTATAATCAGGGTGGACAGAAGGTTTGCCATCTGAAAATATGAAATTTCAATATTTATTAAGCTGTGCCGCAAATAACATTTGTATTGACAGAAATGCATCAAGCATGCAATGAAGTTGAATTACTTACGTAACTCTGTGGAACAAATTTTTTGCTGTATTTATACGAATGCATGCCTAATTTGGGTGTGGGGATTTCAAATATGAAATTAGCTTTGCTCCTAAAGCTATTGATGTTTATTAAAATGACATCTTCGTGTCGAAATGTACAAGTTTATTAACGTTATATATCGTAATTTAACGTTATATAACGTTAAATTACGATATACACCGAAGAGCCATCACATTATGACCACCCTCTATCTATGACAATGGGCTCGCCCAGGTTTTCATGGTTTCTCGTCCAGGAACCAAGATTTCATGGGGCACATTAGGACCCATAATCCTCATAGAACAATCCCTGACGTCTCTAAGCTACTTGAACATGGTTGCAGACCAGGTTCACACATTCATAGCAACAGTTTTTCCTGCGGGGGATGGTGTTTACCAACAGGATAATGCACCATGTCATAAGGGTCAAATCGTCGACGAACATTCCAGCGACTTTCAAGTCATGTCTTGGCCCCCAAATTCACCTGACCTTAATCCAATGGAGCATTTGTGGTCCTACTTGGAAAACCAAATTCGTGCTGCCACGCTACCCCCTCGCAATGTGAGGGAATTACAGAACTAGTTGGTGAGCGCTTGGAATACCTCAGAATACCTATCAGCACTTTGTGGAATTAATGCCACGGCGGGTGCTAGCAGTTTTGAGGGCTAAAGGTGGTCCTACATGTTATTAGCAGCGTGGTCATAATGTAATGGCTTTTCGGTGTATATAAACATTTATTTCGTAATGTAATGGGCGGCACGTAAATGTTGCGACAAACTTCAAGGGAAATTAGGGCATATCATCAGGACTAAAAATGCATGGGTGCCCATGACCGGAAATGCTACCGCGCGCGGTTAGAGGAGCTTTCCTATAATGAACTGTTCAGAAGCATACGGAAAAACGGTTCAGCGCCTTCAGCGGTGTATTAAAATGTTTTCCGGGCATGGGTTTATAGGCAATTTTAATCCTCATGATGTGTTCTAACTCTTCAAGAACATTTTTGCAACATTTAGGTGAGAGCCGCGATGGCTCAGGGGATGGAGCGCGCGCCTTTCAATGCGATGAACCGGATTCGAATCCCAGTCGATACGAATTCCGCATCCGGCTTGCACCGACCACAGTGCTGTTGTGAAAGATCCGCAGTGGTAAAGGATCATTGGTTAGAGTCCCCTTGCCGTGAGGCTAACCGTGAGAGGTTATTGTGGTCTTCCTCTCCATGTAACGCAAATGCGGGTTAGCTCCAGCAAAAAGCCCTTCATGGAACAAATTTCTCCCAATACTCGATCCAGGAGTTCCCTTGTCTTTTGGATTGGATTCAAAATTACAAGGCTACGGAGTTGAACATTAGCATTCGTAAACCCATAAAACTGAGTCGGCTGTTCGACGACGGTTATAAAATAAAAACATTTAGTTGACACCCTGTTTTATACAACGTTTTTAAACTTGTATATTTTGACCAATAATAGACTAAAAATGTCATTTTTTAAAAAAAAAATGTAACTTGGAAAGAGATGTCGATTGCGGATTTGAAATCAGAGATACAAAAGTATCTAAGATATGTTCAAAACTCTCATGCCACAAAAAAACAAAACAAAAAATATATACCCCGGTGTAATTCTTATCTAAAATTTTTAAAAAAATTTTAAGGTGTGTTATGCCAGGTTATGTGATCATTAAGACATGTAAAAAACGACTTTAGCATTAGAGGAAATGTGTCAACACTTATAAATTAAGTTGAATTTCCTAACATAATTTGTGTCTAAAGTAAGAAATTTCAAAATTTATTTAAGTTGTGACAAAAATATATATTGCATGAAAAGAAATACCTTATTTCATGTAAATTAAGTTGAGTTACTGATACAATTTCTGTCTTAACCTGCTATGTGAGAAATAGCTTTCACAATAGGAACTTTTTTCTTTATAGTTATAAGTCATAAAATCACTTCTCAAGTAACTTTCATGACGAAAAATATCATCATGCACAATCGTGTACAAAGAAACATTTTTCGTTATACCCAGTTAAAAGAAAAATTTCAAAATATATTGTGTTATAAACAATTTTGGAATAGAAAGAAAATGCAGCGGAATATATAAATTAAGTTGAATTGACCAACAAAATTCGAATCTAAATTAGGAATTTAAAGACATTAAATTGCATTCTAATTAATTTTTTTAATGAAATACATGCACCGGATTATGTTAATCACATCAAATTCATAGCGGAATTTGTCTTTAAAATTAAAAAAGGAAGTTTTTATCTCAGAAATTAGTATTTGACTTATTTTGAATGGATAAATACAGATAGTTATTCGGATAAGAAGTCATGAAACAAAAAATTATATACATAATTTCATCTCCTTTAAATAAATAAATTTAGGTCTCGGAATTAGAATTAAGTCTGCGTACTTCCAAAAGAGTTCTCAGCAAATCTGAACCATTTATTGAATAAGTTTTAGACTACATTTGAAAATTTGAAAATAATCTTGATATTACACATATATTATGTAATCAACGTTACGTTTACTTGAAGAATATCTATCGTGCTTAGTTTTTTTTTTCCTTTTTTGCCCACTAACTTAATAAAGTGTTTTCTATTGCTAAGAAAATTTGATATGCAATGAAAGGAACACTTTTTTTTCATTAATTTTAACTTTTAAAAAATAATGAAACCATCTGTAATAAACTTTTGATTTTTTTTTACAGTGCTTCTTAAGCGCCTTAAAATCATTGAAATTATACATGTTTTAATATTGCGATATAACTGTGTTAATATATATATATATATATATATATATTAATTTTTAGTGATATATTGTTTTGGGGTTTAGTTTAGTGATTCATGTTTGTTTAATTAACTTAAAACTAACTAATACTTAGACTAAAGCCCGCTTTCACTAAGGCCCACTAGTAGAAAAGCCAACTAACACTAAAGTCGGCAAACAAAAAAGCTCACTAGCACTAGGTCTGACTAACATTAGACATAACTAACACTATAAAGCCAACTATCATTGGAACCAAATATTGTTTTGCATCTGTGATACCATAATTCCACTTAAGAATTAATACTGCTTTAGAGTGAGAATTGTCAACCGTTTCCCTTCCAATAAAATTAATTCTAAAAAATAATACTTTAAATATTTCTTGAGTTTATGATGTAGATGAAAGTACGTGAAATATGTAACTTTTCAACTGGAGAAAAAAATTAAATATTAAGCCAATGTCAAATAATAAACTTTCGAAGTTGATATATCCAACCTACGAATTTCATCCTTGACGACCTAATATAAATTTCAATATAACTTTCAATAGTTATAAAATATTGTAGTTTTATAAACCAACAAGGAAAATTAACAAAAAGCAAAATTTAGAAAAAGGTAAAATTTAGAGTTTTTAAATTGCTTTTTTTTTCTGGATGGTATTGCACATCATTATGATTGTCTAGAAAATACAAATTTGGTTTTTCTGGGCAAATTTATTTATTGCACACTATTTAAAAATATTTAGAGTCGACAGGAACTAACTTACTGAAAATTAGGGCACACACGGGGGCTAACAGTTATTTTTTACCATAAAGTGTCCATATCTTATCGAGACATTATACTAAAAACTATTTTATTTATGACTTAATAGCTTTATGGTATTCTTATGCAAAGATCTAATAAATATTTAAAGTACGTATAGTCGGACCTCTTTTTCACAAAGACGCAGAATCCTGAATCCATTACATGAAAAATTCGTTAAATAGAAATTTCCCTTTTAAAAATACTTTAAACAACGCAAAACAGTAATTCAATTATAAACAAAAGATAAGATTAAGAAATCAATGCTGTAATTTTAAAGACCAATTCTAGCTACAAAAAAGCATTTAGTGAAAGGTTTGATCTAAGATATTTCAATAGCTTAATCTTTTTATTTTTTAGGGAGTATTACAAATTACTTCAATTGCTTACAGAATAAATTTTATTTTTATTGGAAAGTTTATTTATTGCACATTAATTCAAAGCTTATAGAATCACAAGTAGTTGAATTATTCTTTAACTGTTATTTTTCAGCGTAGAGAAACAAATAAATCCTCTACATCTTATATCCATACTAAAAACTATTTTATTTATAAATTAATAGATATATAATATTTTCAAGCCGTTCTCTAATCAAAAATTTATAGTACATACAGTTGGACCTCTATTTAACGAACTTACTAAATAAATACACAAGACACATTTTAAATTGATCTATTTTATACATCTTAAACAGCAAAAAGCATCTTGTAAACAGCGTGACGATTGCACTTCTTGAATGAAATGCAAAGCTTCACCGGGATTTTTTTTATTGGTAAAGCCAATTAAAGGCCATTGTTTACCACAAAATATGCTACAAGTTTGAAGTGTTCCTTAAATTTTGAGAAATAATAAAAACTATTGATTCACAAGGAAAAGTTCGTTAAAACGAGATTTCCAGTCACTATTTTGAAGTTACTTTACCAAGAGTTTCTCAAAATGTTCCTGGTTCCTCGAAAATGTTAGCAATATAGAGGAATTCGTAAAATAGAATTTCGTTAAATAAAAGTCTAAACTGTAATTCAATAAATAATCTCTTCAAATCAAACCAGCTGGAAATCTCTAGAGTCGTTTATTTCTAATCTTGACTAAAACAGTTTTTCATAAAGATTTATTTTAAAGAGAATGCAAATTAATGATAACATTTATTTAGAAAATCATTTACCAAATTTTCATGGTAGGATAACTTCCTTTGACATTAAGCTCATATTCCTACATATGTTTTCGATTATTCAGAATTATTTCATTTGAAATCACTATGTTTATCTCGCTCGTTCTATAAATAATAGCTAAGAGAGCAAATATAAAATCTTGCAACCATTTCTCTTTTACGCGAAATTCCACCTAGATAACATTTCGGTACAAATTTATTTGCTACTTAATTTCCGAAACGTCCAGCGTGGTTGTAATTTATTATCCCTATTCCAATCTTTAGTACTGTTTTACACTGAATTATCACATGAGGAGTTATGAGAAATGAAACTTTTCTTGAAAGGTGTGTACGCCACTCAGAAATTCATTTTAAGTATAAATTTATGTAAGAAAAGCAACAAGTAAACTACACAGAAGAAATATCTAATCTTAAATTAAGTCATTAGCTTGGTAAAGGAATTTAATTAATTCTTGTAAATTCTGTGTGTAAAACTATTTAATTTTAATAATTAAATTATTTTGAATATAGTGAGTCATTTAATATTAATTCTAATGATAATTCGCGATATTTAAAAAATTAGTGCAAAAATTATTTAATATTTATGTTGCAAAAATTAATTAATATTTATTAAGGATCTTAGAGGGATTTGGTATTTTCTCATGTAGCATCCTGCACGTTCACGTACGTGTATATAAAGCAAGCTTTGTATAGAACAGAGATTAGTTCCATAGAACATGTTCGTGAATGTTTAAATATTTTCTGTCCATAGAGAGATTTAGCTATCTCACGTGCTATTATATATTTTTTATGCTTGCCAGCATCAAATGTTAGATAGGTAGCTTACATCGTAATTGCATGATAAGCTATATACAAGCATCTCATGCTTATTAGCTTTTTAAGCTGGTTCCAAAACATGGAGAGGTAGTTACCTTAACAAGCTATTATATGATTTTTTATGCATGCCAGTTTCATAAAATGCTTTGATACTATGCATGTTTTTAAATGTATCACTTTGTATTGTTATGATGTATTGGCAGTTAAATTTACTTCAAAACTAACTTACTAACACGAAATTAAAATATTTTAGCTTAAGCAAATTAAAAAATTAAGCTTGTAAAAGGATGTTGCTTTGCTTCACTTGCTAATTTACTGCAAGACTAAAACTTTCAATCAAAATCTACTGTTTCGTAAAGAGTTAAAGGAATCTCCTTTGCCTGCATAAAAAAGTAAAAATTAATGCATGCATTAGTATACATTAGGCATGGAAATTAAAATGGAACTTATAAATTAAATAGGCGTAAAGCATAGTTATATAAAAAGTAACAAGCTTTAAAAATGCAATTCAAAATTTATGCAAAAATTTATTTCTGAAAAAAAAATAGTAAATATTTTTAAGCTCTGATGGAATTCAATAAAATTTAAAAGCCCAATAAAATATTTTCTTCAAGAAATGATGTATATTAAACTTTATTTTCTTTTGTCCTGATCTGCATAAAAATATAATATGTTACATTATCACTTTACGTTTTAAAATTACGTTTTTAACATTTACGTTTATAAATTAGGTTTGTACATTAAAAAACTATCCACTGTACGGAGCAAGTTGGCATCACTGTATTAGTATATATTTAGAAAATATAAACTTGTTTGTTTAGAACGGTTGAAAATTAAAGTTATACTTATTATTACTAAAGTTATTATTATTACTCAACGAAATTGCGGTCTTGTTTTTAATTTTTTTTTAAGCGAATGAAAAAATCTCTGCATCTATTTATAAAATCCAATTGCTGAAAGTCTATCTATTTTATAAATTAACGGCAAGTTTGAAAAAGAAGGTATGTGCTGTATTTCCTAAACTAGTATAGTAAAATAAAATTAAAGAAAGTACAAAAAAGGAATAAGCAAAAAAAAAATGCGACTTCCAAAGAATTTTATTTATTTTTTCATTAAGAACTCTACAACCTATTACTTTTATAGTTTGGATTTGACATTAAAATTATGTGTCATTAAAGGAAAAAGTATTGAAAAACATGTATCAATAATAAAAAAAATTATTAACTCATAATTTTATCGATTATTTATAAATTGAATAATAAAAAAATATAAACATTTACTTTGTGAGCAAAATTATTTTCAGATAAACACGAATATATTAAATGTTCGCTAATATTTTTTCCTTTCATTTGCCAATACATTGCCTGACATAAATGTTTCGCATAAACCACTCATAAAAATAACTGCAAAAAACAAATAAAAAATATAAAGGTATTTTTTTTCTTCTTGTTTTTAGATGAACACATATTTATAGTTAATATTCCAAAGTTAAGCGATTCTGAAAGAATTATTTGTCGAATTTCTTACCGTTTGAGATAGCATATAGTTTGTCCACCCAATGAAAGCATAGTTTTACTTTATCCATTCTTCGTTGAAATCCAACAGAAACTTCATAGCATCTGAAAAAAGATAAATTTTACATGAATAAAATTGAAATATTATCAAAATACTAATACATTGCATTTTCAATTTCAAGAGAATAAAGCCTGCACGCGTCTCAATTATAACAGACAGCTTATAAATTATACTTAGAAAAAGATGGAAGATAATAGAATTGTAAGATCCCCTGCGTTCAAATTAAAAAAAAAAACGATTTTTTTAAATTTTTTTTCAAAATTTTAAAATTTGTTAAAAAGTATGCCCACAGATGGCGCTGATAACAAGAAAATATTCAAACTGCACAACGTTATTGTTGTAAATGGAGGTTATTTTAAAAACACTCTCTTAAAACTTTTCTCAATCAGTAGCATTAAATAATATATTCAAGTCAAGGTGGATTTGCGGATAAATCTCTCACCTTTCAATGACACGACGCAGGCTCAAATTCCGAAAATGAATTTAGATACTCTTCGAGGTCCGCACAAACCACTGTAATATATCTCTAGGGACATGCGCATTATGAATTATAATTGCCTTACCATTGTGCTAACCTTCTGGTAGTTATCGAAGTTTTCCTATCCATGCAATTTCACATGATGGGTAGCTTCCAAAAAAATTTCCTCGAAACAGAAAAACAATTGTCTTCCCTTGCGCTTCATCAAAAAGTTCCCTTGTCAGAGTTGGGTTTAAAATTTTAAGTTTCGCAGAATTGAACATTGAGATCTGCAATTGTATTGTCAATCGACTGTTCAACGCCAGTGATAAGAAATTTTTGTAATATAACTAATAGCATCATCTGGTGACGAACTTTTTAGTTAATTTATAATGTTGAGCATTAATTAACTGGTTTCCTGAGGAGGAAGCATGAAATTGTAAATTTTAACTTCATTTTTTTTTTTCAATAGAGTTTTCAAAACGCCAATAATTTTCTAGACACTCAATAAAAACAATCGCAGAAAACTGACATACATATATATATATATATATATATCTNTATATATATATATATATATATGTATGTATTTCTTAAAGTTTCGTGTTTTCAGCATCAAAATTCAATAAATCAATATTAGAACTCAATAACTGTATATCTGAATGCATCACATTTCATCTTGCACCAAATGGCATCTTTTATTGTGTTTAAACAATAGACAAGTTAAACAATACATTTCCAATAATCAGAAAGCTTCATACGTCTTATTACCTCTTTATCTTAGCTTAAATTTCAAATAAAGTTTAAAATTTCTTTAAAATTGTATTAAAATCATAAAATGGACCACTTATGCTACTTTAATACCATTTGATCAAGATATTCATTTTGATTTAAAAGACTTTATCAAATATTTTACTATACAAATATGTAAGCCTCCTAAAACAATAGATAACAAAATCCTTTCTATTTGCTTATGGTAATAATTTTGGTAAATATGTGTTCTCACAATGTATTCCTTTATGGAACTAGTGGTTATTTTACTTCAAAGTTGAGCATTTCGTTCAATAGATGGCTTTCACAAAGCTCTGAATGGGTATTAATTGTGAATCATATCGATATATTTAAATGAGACGGCATGGTTATCTTTTATGTTATCTTGGAAACTATAGCTACTTTCGCGCTTATTTGGTTTTACTATAATAGTTACAAGCATATTAAAATGTAAGCAGAAAGGATATCTTTTGTTTCATTCTCTGCTGCAGGTTTATTTGAATAAATTATTCCGTTAATACAAGCAGATAATGAAAATCACAAACATTTACTTTGCTGAATGTTGAGACCTATTCATTTTATTCGATGTTTGTGAGGCAGAGAAACAAATACAAGCAATACGAGAAAGTAAAGTGAGTGAGTTAATAAAAACTTTTGCCATCCATATTGCAAATTATTGGTTTATAAACTTTTTTCTCAATTTATTGATAAACTGATTCTCTCATTCACTAATAAGCTGATTCACCCACCTACGGATACGTTCATTAACTGAAATACATTCGATATTTCAGTGGTAAAATAAAGTTTTCCAGAGACTCATTAACTTCTTTTCAGCCTTTATTCACTCGCTATAACAAGAACCATTCATTGCCCATCGCGGACTAAATTATAATAATACACTTATAAAATTAAAGGGAAACAATCCTAAAATTTACAAGGTGTAATGTAAACTAAATAAATATTTGGGCAAAAAATGCTTGATGAAAAGAATCTTGAAAAACTTATTAATAAAAAACGATTAGCCGTCATAGTAAAAAAAATTACTCTCCCATTAACTAGTACGCCGATTTCCCACTTCACTAATACATTGACCACTGACTCTCACATTTACTGATTGCCTTTTTATCTTCCTTCATTCACTCGCTATAACCATGAATCATTAATTTGGTTGCCATGGTAGAGCAACGAGTATTAAAGTGCACTTTTTTTTAAAAAAAAAATAAAGGTAAACAAACTTAAAGCAAACATGTATGAAAACCAATTTGAAAATGCGTTAATGACCTCGTTAAAAATAAATAAAAATCTATAGATTGGTCATAAAGTAACCTTAATAATTCCCTTTCACCAAATTAAATCTATAATAGTACAAAATAATAAGAACATACGTATTAAAATTTTAAAAAAAATGTCCTTCTCTTTTAATGTTTTTTTAACTGGTTTTAGTGGATCAGAAAACAGTCTAGCACTTAAAAAAATCCAATTTTACCATAACTACCAAGAATTTTCTGCTTCGAATTTTTAGCAATTTAAATTTAGATATTTATAGAAAAAATTCGTAACTTTTCTCCCAATGAACTGGGATTTATTTTTTATTTAAAGAAATATTTTTCAGATTGTAATAATTTGTTTTATTCTAGATTTCTAAAATTTTAAAGATAACTTATAGCTACATGAAAAATATTTAATATCTTGCTAATGATTAAATTATACTAAAGTATCAATCAAAACTAATCCTCATACTGATTTAAAAATTTAAAAAAAAATCGTCTAAACAATTTGCGTAGTATAGGAAATTTTACCCATAAGCGTTTCCAACCCATTAACTTCTTTTTAGACATTTAATATTTTATTTTTTAAGATCTGATTAAACTAATTTTATGTAGCTCAAATTTATTAAATCTAGGAATTCTTGAGTTCTTGAAAATGCCATTTTTACGCTAGATATCTCGAACGCTATGTTGTTCTGGTGAATTTTAATTAAAATTCGGAATTCCTCCCCAGTGTATAGTATACGTCCCGTTACACGCGACGTATCATGCATTGGATTTCATTATCCTGATTAAATACCTGGTTGACTTATTCCTTTCAAAATTAATAAACGATTCTTTTGTCATTAGAGGTTATATACAAGAACTCAAACTATGTCAGCTTGTTTTGTTTTTCTTTCTAGACAAGATTTTGTACTTTTAAGTATTCAATTAAAGACATTCGAGAGCTTTGCTTTGTTTAGAATTAATCGATTAAAGTAAATTATATGAAGATAGATACATACGGTTTGTTATGTTCCGTTTTGCAAACAAGATGATTTTATCCTTACTAAATTTCTAAGTTAATTAATTTCTTCAATAGATGGCTCTGTTTTTTGAATAAAAACTATTAAAACAATTATTTCTGCTTTGTGACAGACTATTTAAACTGAAATATTTACACCAGCATTGGTTAGTTGTATCGTTTAAGTTCTTACAGTTTTCTATTCAAATGCATATATCCGAGAAAGTAACATTATTTTAGCAAAACTCTCGGGAAAATTGGGTCAACGCTCAGCCTTGATATCAGAAACTTGGAGAACCTTAATGCTATACAAACATGTTGCAACCGTATGGAGGTGTTTATTTTACGCATGTTTTCTCGCAATTCGATCTAAACCACAGAATAGACTAATCAATTTTAAGAAGTACGATATTATAGTTCAATTTAGAACAACACTAAAATTGAGGCAAATACGAACGATATTATGGTTAAACATGCTCAAAAAATTCTAACAGTTTAGGAGATATACCGAGTTTCCATCTAAAAAAAGATCAATGATTTGTAAATCAAGAAAAATGGAAGGAGATAAGTATATACAGTTTGCTGCGTTCTACTAAGAAAACTGTCATATTTAATGTAAAAAGTATTAGAGAAGACGCAACTGACTGTGTGAATAGTATTTTCTAATGCATATGTAACTATTCGAACTGACATATCTGCACAACTGCCGGGTAGTTTTATCCTCAGAAAACATCCATTGTTACAATAAATGACGGTTATTTTGTTCGATTTATAGTTTTATCGGCTATCAGCGACATCTGCTGATATACTTGGTAACTAAGTTTGAAACTTAGTGAGAAAAGTTTGGTTTCCAAAGCAGAAATTAATAATTCGTCCAGAAAAAAAAAGTTCATTTCAATTTTTCTTTCCTTCTTTTCAATTGATTTTTCAAAGCATTGATAATTTTAGAGACCCCTGGTTGCTTCTTGATAGTTAAAAGTGGTCAGTAATTCCTTGGCAAATGTTAACAGACATTGGTAATCTGATTATTTTATAACAACTTCATAGCTGTTGTAGGCTAAAATAATTACTCTTGATTTACTAAGTCTAACTAGTTGTCCTTAGAAGATGTGTACAACAAATTAAAATTTGTTAATAGATCCAATTTCCAAGCACATACAATAAATATTTAACTTAAAACGCCCTAACTCTTGCTTTGAATCCGAAGATACAGAATTTCAAATATTAAAATCGAACTTACATGCGAATATCTTCAGACATATTTGCTGAAAATTGTTAATTCAAATTTGAAATAAGTAGATTGTAAAATTAATAACTATAGCACAATAGTCCTACAACTTTCGATCCCACTATCCCACAATTTTCATTTCATTGTTTTAAAAGCGATACAATTGTCGAATTACTTCTAACGCGATTACGTTCTCGCCTCTGGTAATTTTACTTAGAGATACATTATTTCTCGTGTTTTCATTTCTCGGATCTATGAGAGATCGTAATTTTATATTTAAGATTCATAAAATTACAATCTACGGTTTAAAGTTCTGCTAGAATCGAGATAAAAGTCTTGTTCTTAAAAAGTATTACTGGAACATGGATTAACAATAATACACTAATTAAAAATTAAGGATAATCAGCACGGGTAACTTCTACTCTCATTAAAGTTAAATGTTCAATCGAGTTTTTCTTTTCATTCGATATTATTATAATGAATGATAAAAAAATAAAAAAATTATATTCGGATTAAATTTAAGGAAATTAAATAAAATTGGAGTATGATTAACACGTAATAGTAACTATAATGTTAATCAAGTGATAAATCAAGATTTCATTCTACATTACTACAATATATAAGGAATTCAAAGTAATCAAATTCGGATAAGCATTAATGTAATTTAAAAGTAAATTACTTTCAATAACATATGTATTATCTTCTTATAAAAACTAAGCAATCAAACAAGATTTTATATTTATTTTACATTATTTTAATATAAATAGGAGAAATAAAAGTAGTTGAAATGCGGAACTATGTACTTAAAACTAAAACTCAAGCCAATTTCATTTTCGAAACTAAATAAAGACGAACTAGTAACGTACATTATCTTTATTCGAACTTATTTATAAAATCTTTGAACCTAGAATTTTTCTTATAAATTTAAAACTCGTTCTTTACAAAAAGAGAATAAATATTAATGCATTTTCAATAAACTTCTAAATATGTTTATTTTTGTATGATTTTATATAGCTACACCATTTAAAACCTTTTCTTTACTTTCATTAGAGTAAAATTTTAAAATATTATCGAGTATATATTCTCAGTCTTATTTCTTAAAATCGGACAATGATCACATACCAAACCTTTTTTAATTCAAGCAATTAAATTAATACACTCTCAACGAACTACTGAATGGTTGTTTAATTTCGTGACTTAAAAAAACAATTGTATTTGTTTTTATTTATAATGGAGTTATTTTAAACTTTCAATATTTAAAATCTAAAAAGGAATTTTATCACATAATTCTCTCTAAGTATCTAAACAGGAAAGTACCAGAAGTGACCGTCGCAAATAAAGCTAAATTTTTTATACAGCTAGTAATTTTAGTTAAAAAATAATATATAGGTATATATTCTTTAAAATCTATTTTGCTTTAACTTCGGAGAAAGAAATTATTGAAAATGTAAGTTTAAGCAAACAAGTCTGTAAAGAATCGTAAGTATTTCTCCAATACAGGATACCTATAACCGTTAGACAATAAATTAATATCTTAGAAAAGTATTTGTTAAATGCCGAATTATGAAGGAATTTATCACTCAAAACAATAGGATTTTCATTCTAAATTTTAAATTTAAACTTTCAATTTAAGTCTTTTGATACCTAAATTTGCCAATTGAATGTGTAGTGGTCAGGGAGCTGATCTCATATCGGAAAGGTCCTAAGTTCGAATCCCGGACAAGGCATGGATGTTTTTTCATTCTCAGTATTATCTGTCCTTAGTGTGGGAGCGAAGTTGGCCTATGGTTCCCTTAAAGAGTGACCAACAAATCTACCCTACTGATACCTGAATGACGAGTGACAATCGAGGAGCATTGACCTAAGTCCAGAAAAAAATCCTAAATATTACAATATTAAAGTTTCCATTTCAGGAAAAAATAGTCTTTTAAAGCCAACTAAGTTCTTCATCTGCGAAACGAATTGAACTTTGTGACATATTCAAGGTGAAATTTTATTTTTTTAATAATTTACAGCTTATTATAAATCTTTTTTAATATTTATAGTTACAATAAAAATAGAGAAATAAACGTAATATATTATTTCGCATGTGCAACAAAAAAAAAAAAAAAAAAAAAAAAAAAAAAAAAAAAAAAAAAAAAATATCTGTAAATTTAAATTCAGCCTGACTGACAAATAATAATATTTCGGTTACCTACCTTGTGAAATATTTCCTATACCATTTTCATTTCTATTTTCAAATGAAGTTGCTCAAAATATTTTAAATGATCTTTAAAGAGTCATTTATTAAAGTTTTAAAAATTTGTAATGGCAACATTTAAAAAATATGTAATATATATTTTTTTTTACAAATGCACATTTTTAGCCACATATCGAGATATTTTTGTAACTAAAAACATGATATTGATACCTGTTTTTAAATGATAAAGCAAAAAATACCGCACTTAATAAAACCTGAAAAATTATTAATTTCTGAAGATCGGGACATCCAATATTTATCATTTTTAAAAGTTAACAATTAAAAAAAATTCTAATAAACTTATAATTTTATTTGTTTACAATAAAAATTTGAAATTCCATGTCACAAGATATCTAAAAATTTGCGATTTGCCCAATCTTATTCTATTCACAAAGAAACAATTAAGGATATTTTTTTGGCAGAAAAAAATATTTTGCTTCCAGTTCAAAACGTGAAGAACGTGATTTACTTCTTCATTAAGTACCTATTAATAAATTTGATTTTATTTTATTTTTTCATAAACGTCCGATCATTCCTAATTACAAAGTTACCTATTCATCGGCTGACCTAATTGTGGGCATTTTTAAATGCTTTTCAGAAATTAATTTAGTATAATGTTCAAGATTTAAAAATATTTGCATTCATAACAGTAAAAAGTGGTATTGTATTCTAAAGTTCAAATTTTAGTGAATAAAATGAAACAAAAAATATTTAAAAACAATTATTAGTTCATGAATATAATTTGAATTTCAAGTCTCCTTAATTTAAATTTTATTTGATTTTTTTTTTTTGAAATTGTATTTTTAATGCTCTCACCTAAGAGTAAAAAAAAAAATTCTCAAATAGATGAAATAATACTGCACTCAGAATATTTGTACTAATTTCAATGTATATATTGTATTGACGTGAGTTTAATATTTATAAAGCTATGAGAAATACAAAACTCAATAAATGTCATAAATTTAGTGATATAATATTTAGGAATTTTGCAAAAACCGACATATTTATAATAGCAGATTATAACAGACTTTTTTAGAATAGCGTTTTGTTGATCATGTGTTCTCAGTTCATATACTAATATCATTTGAACATATTTCGATTTTTTTTCTTCTTTCGGTGCTTTAAATTTTCTTAAAAAAGTTAACAATATATAAGAAAATTAAAAATGTTTTATTTAAATTTCAGTCACTGTAGCTATTATGTAAAAATATTATAGTTTAGAATCTAAACTGCTCTAAAATCTTAACTGCTCTAAAATCTTAACTGCTCTAAAATCTTAACTGCTCTATAATCTAAACTGATCTTTAATCGTAACAGTCCATTTTTCTTTAGCAAATTATAACTCTAAACAGACTTAAAAATTTTTTTGTTAAATGTTTAGTTGAAAATATTGAATGATATTCTGTACAAAAGATGCATAACTTTATTAACTATCATGGACAGTTTTTTTTTTAAATAAATCATGTACGAAAAGTATATAATTTTCTTCAATAATATTTATATTTCATCGCTAGCCTTTAACATTTTTAATGATGACTTATTACAAAAAGAACTTCAAAAATATTTCCGATAACGTACTTAAAAAAAAATAATAAATTCAGATCAACTCGTGCTTGCGAAGCATGACTTGAAATCAACAAACTTAGCATTTAATACGTTTTTAAAGTTGCAACTTTCCTTTTCTATTGGTTAATAAATTTTAACAAGATTAATACAAAAAAAATCTCAAAAAATTTCAAGAACAAAAATTAAATCATTTAAATGATGAAATCGTGTGAAAAAAATTTTCTTACTTGTTATTTCTGCTCCTTTTTTACAACGAATTAGTATTTTTTTTTAAAAGAAGATAGATAGGGATAAAAAGCACTCCACGTATATCCCTAAAATTCCCCCTAAATGATGCGTGAAACCCTGTCGATATCTCCTCCCATACTTTCACGCAAAAGTTAGCCGTTTAGGGGAAAATGGGGAACGGTGTTAGCTGCGAACGTCACGCGCTTCGATAGCAAAGAGACACACACACACTTTTCCTTCCAACATCACTTTTCTCACTTTGGAGTAGGGATCACGTATACGGCGTGGGATGGAATCGGGGTTGAGGGACGCATGCGCACTTCTTCACGAAAACTAAATCCCACCAGCGCGCTTTTTTTTTTATTGCTTTCTTTTGTAACATCTGAGAAATTTCTTGAGAATTGAAGATGAAACACCTTATATTTTTCTATCCGCCTGTTTTCATCTGGAAGAGTGTTATGAAGTTATCTTGGAACATTAAGAGGAAATGTATAGGTTTTGGTATATATATAGGATTTTTTTATGTCATCTTCAAAATCAAATACGGTTAGAAGCCATCTGTAATGCTGAAATGTTGATTTATCGTCTTTATCGAATATTTCAGCAACACGTTTATTTCCAGGATGGACGCCAACATTTCCCGACAGAAAGGCAGAATCAAAGAAATGCATTTTAAAGAAGGGGAAAAGACACACTTTATGTTATTTATTATTTATATTATTATTAATTATACCATAGATCACTATTAATATACCACCCCCAATATATGTTACTTTCTTATTTTCATTTTTAATTAAGAATTCTAGTAATAATAATAATACACATATAAAACACAATAACGACAAAAAGGATTTTTTAAAAAAAAGATTGATTAACGAGGAAAATTAAAAAAATTATAATAAGTTTAATTTACTGTGCACAAACTGCAAGAACTAATTAACTAACAAATTAAACGTGGTTCTGTACTTCAGTAAGAATGAAAATATTTTTAAGAACATTATTTTAAATCGCTTTTGAAAAATGCCAGTAAATAGTAGTACACATACATTCGCTACTCGCTTTATATATTATATCATGTGTCCTATTCTGTATTTTCTTAAACTTTTATTTTCTCTTTTTTGTTTGATATATTTTATTTTGAATTATTCTCTCAATTTGCTCTATTTTTGTTAAAACTTTTTTTTGGTGCTCCTCACACTATTGTATTGATCGTGTGAGTTGATAACGAGATTATATCTTTTTTTTCTTACTTCCTGCTTTCCAGCTTTTTTAAATTTTTAATGATTTTTTATATATATATATATATAAAATCATTAAGAGAGAGAGAGAGAGAGAGAGAGAGAGAGAGAGAGAGAGAGAGAGAGAGCCACTTTTAATATTTATTATTAGAATCCTTATGAAAAATAAACAGACTTGATGCTACAAATAATATTTTTTTTTCCCGATGAAAAATGAAATCGCTATTGAAATCTGACAAGTCACATTACAGGAAAGGGCAAATGTAATAAGTTTCATTGAGGGAGGAAACAGAGAGAACCTTTCACCCTTCAATTCAGACTGCTTTGATATCCATCTTCTTTTAACTGTAATTTTTCAGGTTTTGATAAGGTTTTTGTTTTTTCCTTATTAAAATATTAATTTGCGGCCTCCAGTGTGTATGCATTTCATTTTCATTTTTTATAAAGATTTTAAATTTAGTCTTCAATATTCCACTATGTTACTGTAAAGAATTATCCCTCAGAAAAAGGATTTCACTTCCCCCATAATATAATACAAGGAGCGCAATTTACTTAATTAAGCAACTAATTTATGTTTTTAAGTATATATCTGCTTTATTATAACCAACTTAAATGTATTCTATTGAATCTAGGTATTCTAAGTATTAAATTTGCAAGCGCTTTTACAACTTTTGAAGGATTCAAAGTAACAAAGCTTCAAAATTCAAAAATGTCAATTCACAGTTCAAATTTTGAAAATACTTAACTTTAGCTAACTGTACTTAATGGGATGCATTTCAAAGAAAAAATTCATAAAAATTGATTGAAAAATATTAATAAGCTGCTAAATACAAAATGAAATAGCTTTAGTCTTTGTAGGTTAATACGGAGGAAAAATAATCCTTTTCCTGTCTGAAAGAAACTCTTGAAAATTTAAAGCGCTGTCTAAAAAACAGAACAAACTTGACAGACATAATTAATTGAACAAGAATAACAGACATAAATAACTGTTACAAACTCTCACAATCTATAAAAATAACATAATAATTAGTTTAAAAGCATTATTTCGTGTGACAACTGAACTTCGAATGATGTTCAGACAGAAAAGCAAATGCTTAGATAAAAAATAAATAAATAAATAAAAATAAATAAATTAATTGAATGTTTTCAATTTTTGAATTTTCCCTCTGAATGAAACACTAAAGTGAAAATAATAATTTCATGTGTAGACTGAAAAAGTTTTATAAATTTTAAAGCTTTTTCTCGATAAATAGTTACCGCATAATATCGAATATAAGTTCATGTGCGTATAAGCCAAGAGTACGTTGTACATAAAAATTAACTCAGAATGTAAAACCCATACAAAGTTGGAGTAAGAAATATTAATAAATAAATAAATAAAATGAATAAAAAAGGCACTGTCTTTGTGGTTTTCTTTTAGACTACACAGCCATGGGGTTTTATTCCTTTACCTTGTTCAGAAATAAAAGTCTAGAAAATCTCGTCAATTTTTTCCTTCCTATTATTGTCCCCCTCCCCTTCTTCTCAAGCCTTAAATATACGATTGACGTTATATGGTTCAACTTGCCAAAAAGCTTAAGTTAATCAGAGCTATCCAAATTCTGAAGCTAGCATATGCTTCTTTTTTTTTCCAAGGAAAAATGAGCAGTATTATGAAGGCATGTAATATGAGGAAAAATGAGTAGTAAAGGAAAATCTTATTTTAAAAAAGATTCTTTTCCTAACTATCATTTTCTTGTTTTTCCTTTTAAATTGTTATTTTTAACTATTTTATTTCGAACTGTTATTTAATGTATTTATAATTTTTGTATGAGTCGTTTCGCGTAATTCAGCAATCGATCGGTAATGCTCGACCAAAGGATAAGCATTTTTGTCGTCGAGAAAACTTGCGAATTTAACGGGTCTTATTATAAACTGGCTCCCCCATTTTCGCTTGCGAAAATTTTTCTAATATTCTTAACCTATTTACACTAATCGATTTTCAAAATAAATAAAAAATCTTTTTCATTGAATCCTCCATTCTCTTATAATACTTAAATGAAAATGATTTTTGAATTACTATTTTCAATGGTGGAAATTTTACTTTTTAATAAAATTGAATACGAACGAAAATAAAAAATAATCAATTGAACATTTTGAAAAAGATACGTGCTAAGTTGTCTGTTATCGGAAAAACTTTATGTCACATTTCACAATGCGTCTAAAAAAAAATTGAGAAAATCACTATTTTTTATAAACCTATTTTAAGCGATTAAAATATGGATGAAATCCATTCCTAAAATGAAAATATTTATTTTCTAAAACACGCATTTTTAGTATCTCTATTTTTTTTTCATACCTGCATACCGAAATGTCTATTTTTTTAAATAATCATTTTGAGCTACGTAAAAAGGAGAAAGCTCACTGTCATAAGAATAATCCAAGCTCTGCGCAATAGATTATTATTAACTGATCACTTATTTTCTTTAAAAAATCAAAAAATTTCTTTTAACTTTTTTTAAAAATATATAGTTGATGAATGATTAATAGGCCTTGCGACTAAAGCCATATTTCCCCTCTTCAATGAACCTAAGCAGAATGTAGAATGAAAATGAAATATACGGAAATTGTACATTTTAATCCAGACCAGTCTTCCTACAATAATTCTAATTAAACCACACATCTAATAACACTAAATATATATTAAGTGGATTATTTGTGTCGTAGGATTTTAATACACAATATTGAAATGATGGAGAGGTAGAATAAGGCTATCGTGATTATAGATCATTAAAGATGCTTATAATATAGCACTATGCGAAATTAATCTAGAGTGCTCCCCCACTCCAATGTCTAATCAAGCCGCATCTCTCCCACTTTCTGATCAAGACTAGGAACGGTTTATAATTATAATTATATGGCCTCGTACCATCTTATTGGATTTAAAGTACCCCATTCAAATAGTTATATAACACTAAATATATGAATATAATATATCAATTCCTCTCTAAATCTTTAGCACGATTATGAGACTTATGCTTCAAGACAAAAATGTTTTCAATAATAAATTTTGGATCTATTTGAATCTTTATTTCGTAAGAATTTGACTTATATTTCTCTTTTTTTTAAGATTTTAGTTGACGCTGATAACTAAACTTTTAAGGAAAGAATTTTTTAAAAAAAAAAATTATTTCAAACGTTAATTTATGGATACATTTATGTGACAAGTTTCTTTTAATATATCTTACTATGTTATCTCGTAATTTTAAACCAGCATCAGAAGACGAAGCTCTTCTTGTGGAGGAATAAAAATAACCACATTTGTGAAGATAAATTATAATATCTGTCACCAAATAAAAACCGGTAGTAGTACATGGTTAAGCCTACCAAGATGCTAACCTGGGTCTCAAGACTTAATTGGACTTAATTCAGCTTTAATACAAGTATTTCATCATTGCACCCAATGTATGAATTTTTATAAACAAAAAAAGCTAGCAAAATAGGGCACATATGATAGGCATACTATCGTTTCGGTACCAATACAGTTTCTTCTTAAATGGCGAAATAGAAAGTATATGTTCTGTGTTTTAAACTGAAGACGATACTGCATTATAGTACCTAGTATATATGGGTGATTCTCACGAAAAAATTCAGACCAAAAAATTTCTTCAAATTTAAAGTCTTCAAAATAATCTAAAAATTTTTTTGTATACTTCTTTAGCTACACTTATTAATATATTATAGACAGAAGTGTAGTTCATTGACATTTGCTGGAGAAAAAAAATAAAATAGAAATTCACCAAATCTTGAATGCCAGGAAAATGACATATTACCTCAGAAGTTTAAAAACAGTCATTTTAAGTTAATAGTTAGTAACTCAATTTAAGCCTTTATGTTAGATGGACCATAAATAGCTTAAATTAATTCTTTTTATCCACTGTAGAAACAAACAAAAAAAATTTGTTGCTGATATGTGCAGAATAAAATTGTGTATAATAATCAATCGTTAAATAAATAAATAACTTTGATTGCA